TGGGGAGACAGTAGCTTTGAACGGAAAGACAGTTTTGGACAGTGCGGCCAAGAGAAGTTGTAATATAACAAGAGTGTGGATAATTTTTGACTCACCCTCATACATATTAGACCCATGCGATTCGTTTCATTCCGAATTCAATTTGTACACATTTTCAGAATTTTGTACATTCAGATGCATCTGAATTTCTGAATGGAATAATAACTAATCCGAATGTATCCGAATTTACCGATAACATTTTGAATGCATCCGAATGTCATTAGGAGTTAACTGGTGTTGTTAAACGTTACAATAAAAAAAAAAACAGCATGGAATCCCTTCCCCCAATTCATACCAGACCCTTTAGGTCTGGTAGGAATTTTAGGGGGGCCCACCCCCCACCCAGATGCCACCCTGCCCCTCGTAAATGAGTAAGGGGTAGTTGTTACCCCTACTCATTCACCAAATAACAAAATAAATTGTAAATATACACCTTATACAAAGCCCTTTATTTGAAAAAAAACACAACACAGTTTTTTGACAAGTCCTTTATTAAAAAAAAAAGTATTCATCAATGTAATCCAAAGGTCAATCACATTGTCAAATGATGTAGATCCTCGTCAATCATTATGGACAACAGCCACCGACTCACCAAAATAAAAAAAATACCTGATGCCCGCCAACATGGCCAATCCTGACGAACTCTCGCTGCAAAATGACAGCTCTGACCCAAATGTCAACCAGTGTGTGGAGCAATCATACTAATTACCCTTCAGGATCCCTCCAATGTTATCAGTCCAGCACACACTTTGTTCAACAAAACCAAGACCCGATGAAGGGGGATCTTTAAATCCCTGAAATTGTGTGTTACAAGAATCTGAATATCAATTAAAGTGACACTAAACTCAGGAGTTAAATTCTAGAATGCATTCAAGTACCTTAACTACTAACAATACTGGACTGTATTTGTGTTTCACTCGGCTGTACATCCTCAAATCCTCTCTGAATTCATGCTAACACTGTCCTTCCTTTCTTCCCCATGGTCCCTGTAAGTGTTGTAAAGTAGCCACCGCCCCAAGCTCACTCCCGTGATGGACTACAATCTCCATATAACATAGTAAAATAAACGATTGATTGCAATCCATCACCGGAGTGAGCTTGGAGGGGTCGCTACTTTATAACACACGCAGGGACCATGGGGAACAAAAGTAACCACCCTCCAGAAGGAAGGACAGTGTAAGCACACATTCAGGGATGATTTGAGGGTCTACAGCTAAGTGATGTACAAGTAAGATCCATTTTTGTTAATAGTTAAGGTATTTGGATGCATTTTTAAGATTTAACTCCTGAGTTTAAGGTCACTTTAAATCTGGGTTTTGTATGTTTTGCTTTTGGCACTTTCCTCCTTGCACCCCTAGTCCCTGGTTCAAACTAGCTGCAGAGATTATACATTTATTAAGCTGTTTTACTGGAATTCAACTTTATTATGTGCATTTCCTTCTGTCAATGTTTGTGAATATTCTACGATAAAATAATTGTCTAAAATAATCACTTTTGGCTAGAGGTCCTTCCCTTGACAGACACAAATGATTTCACCGGCTGTTTAAACTTGTGACACTAATGATTCTGTCAGTGACACACCTTCTTGAAGGTTTAAAGTCATTCAAGTTAACAAAACAAAACTTTAGTTTGTCTTCAAGAAAGTATCTGTGGGTGATAAGAAAAAGAAATCTGTGCTGTACAGGAACCCTTAGTAATGAGGCAAAGTGTAATATTTCACAGAAATGTCAACACCTGCCAGTTTATGTGATAAATACAGTGTTTGTCATTTGCTCGATGGAAAAGACGTTGGTGGTATTTATGCCTACAGACTATATTAAGATGTCATATAGCTGAACGGCTGCAGTTTTGCAAGGATATGTCCGTTTAATAAAACATATATACAGATACAAATATACAGCAAGTAGAAATAAACTGGAAGTTCAGACTTGTGTTGCACACATTTAACAACCCAATCTTTATGTACCTGCTTCCCATCTGGTATTGTGTATCAGAGTGTCTTTAAGCTGAACTTCAGTCTCCCCTTCAGTCTTGTACAGTTGTACAGGCTCCCTTCTTGTACTGAAATTACTTACTCTGATTTCACTGCACACTGTCAGCTTTTCACAATGTGCATGAGGAGATGCAGCAGATTTAATTAGCGTGCTGATGAGGGAGGACCCGAGGAATGAAAAGTATAAGCAAATTATACTTCAGCTTTAAAGCTTGTCTGCAGCCACCCCTTTCCCCAACCAAGGTTTTCATATTTCCCCTTCCTTAATAGCACAATTATATTTTTTTTAAAAAGAAGAAAAAAAAAAACAATACTAAAAGCAACACTTTCCTGAATCTGTGTCCACATGATGCCCTCATCCTGAGTCATCTGTCTTCTGGTACGCACAGAGGAAGGATTATTCTTTGGGTGCCCACATCAGTACCCAGGAATGTGAACACTTGCTATTGGCTGTCCATCAGCAGGGGCTGGGACATTACAAAGTCATGATAATATCACAAAGGGGGGTTGCAACAAGGCTGGTTGGTGGCGCTGAATTACTGTAGCGGTGGATTGTGCGTTTTATTACTCCTGAAAGAGGGTACAGTGACAGCAGTAACCGGTGAGTGAAACACTGCTTTGGAGGGCTTTGTTTTTAAAAAGCATTGGTGAAATGTGGGAGAGGGAATGGGGGGAATTTTTCTCTGAGATGGCCTTTAAACAGAGTGTTATCTGCGATGCCTTATACTGACCAATTAGATTCAAGCATATAGAGCAAAAGTAGAATTGGAAATTTCAAAGGAGAATTTGATTGCTTTCTGTGGGGCAATACAGACAGATTTCACTTCTTACTTTAGGAAAAATGTCTAATTTATGAATATTGGAAAAATTGCCTACATTAGGTAATCATATTGTATTTTCCAGTGAAAAAACAGATATCTGTAAATCTGAATGGTTGTCAGTAAAGTTCTCTAATATGGTAAAGAATAGTGATGAGCAAATTGGTTGTAAAAGCAGTTATATATTAGGGATAGGAGAATTAAGACTTTTAATTTCCCTGAAATTCAGGAGTGTTCCATTTTGACGAAATCCCATGGAGTCAATGGGTCATACCTGCTGTAAGTAGGCATCTACATCACTGTGCTTTCCATTTCTCAGACACTTTTTTGTTTGTTATTTTTTTGTAAGGTGATTGACAGAGCCACATAAAAGAAACTGTATCTTCAGCCAAAACTTTTTTTTATGGAGTTAGATTTGGGAAGCATTGGAACCGTTGTTAGCTGGGGCTCAGATATTTCCTCTGACTTACTGTTTCCGGGCCTGTTCACACCATATGTGTTCGGGCAGTGCTGGACGTTTTTTCCAGCACAGCCCGAATGTAAGACAAGGCAATTTGCCTTGTCATGGGTGGGCACAGTTTGCACAACTGCAGTCTGGTTGTGTGCGCTTAAACAAAGTATGGCATGCAGCACATAGCAGTTTCACACAATACAGCCACATGACACCACATTGAACCCATAGACCTCAATGAAAAGTTCAACCAAAAAAAAGAGACAGCGTGGTGCAGCTCAATCGAGTGCATTGGCACTGTCCGGGCACATGCACATCAGCAGCCATGTGCTTGAGTGTGGCTACTGTTGTGAACAAGCCTTCAAACATACAAGTGAGGGAAAATCTGCAACAGCAACACAGGTATTTTTTTTGGTAGAGTAGGGCAAGATTACTAGTACACCTGTAAGCTTCTCATTTCTGCCTGCATCCATCTGGTGAAATCATTGTCACTGTGACAATAAGCAAGGGGAAGTCTCTCTCACAGGGGCCTGAATAGGAGAAAGAAAATGACAGATTTATCATTCCTTTCTCACTAAAACAATAAAAAACAGTTTTGGCTGGACACTTTAAGCCCAGCTCAATGCTTGTTTTTTTTTTTTTTAGATAGTTGAGTTCTCTTTGAAAAGATTTCCGTTATTTGACACCCATAAACTGTAAAAAATTGTGCGTATATCACACAGACATCAAACCTGACAGAAATTGTAACCCAAATAGAAAACTACTTTTAATAGTTGCCTGAGTCTATGGAGCTTACAGAGGAGAGAGAGCAGAGAATGACTAAAGTTCAAATCTCCTCTTAAATTATAAGGCCCCTTTCACATGGGTTGATCAGGAGAAGATCCATGCACGGGTCCCCTCCTGATCATAGCGCTATGAATCGAATGTCACCGCTGTGACATCCATGTCCGTACAGTTTTCCCTCCATCTCGGGATGGAGGAAAAAACTGAAACTGCCGGACCCCATGTGTGTCTATGGAGAATCTGATGTAAATAGACACGATCCAGTCTGTCGGAACGGGACACTGTACTGTTCCGTCTGTTTTGCCTGGCTGGATCCGTCTGAAAAACTGAGCATTTCATACGAGCATTATCAATTCAGTCAAGTTTCAAGGATACAAAAAAACTGAAGAAAATTGAATCCGTTTACATCAGTTTTGCACATCCATTGTCAGTTTAGTTTACATCCATTTTTTTACATGTCTGTCTATTTATTATTATAGTATGGTGAATTCCCATGATTCTTTGCTTTCCCTCAGAATGCATTAAGCTTGCCAGGCTGCATTACGACATCAGCCCCAAAAAACGGACGTAACCTGAGCTAATGTAAACTGATAATCAGTTTACATCAGGTTACATCACTCCCGGTCAGTCAAACCGGAGAGCTGATCCATCTCAAATTGCAGACCTCAACTGACACTGATGTTTCCTGATGTAAAGTGATGGCCATCAGTTTTCATCTACACTGCCGTAGAGATGCATTGTTGTTCATTTTTCATCTGCAAACAGAGGACTGGAAACCTGAGAACCTGAACACTCGTGTGGAAGGGGCCTAAAATATAATTATGTTAGCAGAGAAACTTTATTTAAATGATGAGATTGTTTTGCTGTCTGTCCAAAAACCTTTGTTTAATCTGTCTGCTGTACATTTATTATACAGAGAGATATCTGAAAATTATGACTTGAAATCAATAGAGGCCAACGTATTCTCAAACAACCCTCAATTGCAGGAAATGTAAGTAACTGACATATTTAATAAACAATGACATATTAACTGATTGTCCAAGAGAACAGGAGACCTCAGGTACAGTCTGGTTTATATAACAAAGTGATAAAAGTCATTTAGAATATATAGAGGAGATCAACCTAACTGACATTTATTATCAGTTTATGTTCATACCAGTGTTGGATATGGATCTATTAAGCCCTATGTGGATCTGGATGCACATTCTGCCTAGCTTTGAACTGCTTTACCTATATAAAATCTTGATATTACAAACAAACATTTATTACAGGCTTCATCAATGGCACCCTATTACTTTTTGGCTAACTCACTATACTGCTTTAAAGCCCAACTCCTGCTAAACCCTTTTTTAACTTTTGAATAGAGCAGAGAAGGGTAAGAACATATCTTGTGTTTATTGCTGTCTGGGATTTACCGTCACACCTTGTCCCGGACAGGAAATAATGGAATATCTCTCTAGGGGTTAGAACATCTTCAAAGTTTTTTTTTTTTATTGCTCTTTGTGTCTCTTGTTTGGAGCTCCAGCTTTACTATTGGGAACCATACTGGGATAGGAACTGAGGGTGTATGCAAAATGTTATGGTTGTCACAGTAAGATGCATAGAAGGGATATCTTCCAAACCTGTTTTTGTGAATACTTTCAGAGGGGGCATTTCCCCTCTTTCTGGGAAGATCTCCTTTTGCTTTCCATTGTGTCTGAGGGGACAGGTAGTGCAAAGAAGTGTCCTCTGTGGGGACACAGACAGCAATAAAATACTGAGAAGTTTAATCTGGACAGGAGGGGAATCAGGAAATCTCCCCAGCGAGTACACATATAGCAATACAAATGTAAATTTCGAATTCTTTCCCAAATCACAGAAAACTTTTAAATGGCTTTAGCTCGAGTTTGACATTAGATTGCCTACATATGTTAAATGATGGCCATTCAGGCATGCACAACTTGGTTATTAAACAAACCTTCTGACCAAAACTCTTTCTATTAACAAGCTTCCTGTGAGGGAGGGAGGAGGAGCATTGCACGGACTGGCCCTTCTCAGGGGAAACAGCAGTGATTGGATGAAAAAATCCACCCTAGCCAATCAACTTTTCCCCCAAGCAGACTCCATCAATCAATGAACATCAGCTAGGGTTGTGGAGGTTCCTAAAACATGTATTTTCCCCTGAACTTTCAAAAACCGTTGGATCAGGTAAATGTTCTCTAATGTCTGTATGTAATGTCTAATGACTGTAGGCACCTTAAGACATTGTCATATCTGCTGGTTCTATGAAGGTGGATATCCTTGGCTACCATAATGAAAAGAGAGTTATGGGCCACCAGGTGATGATGGATAGGGATACAGGGTAACTTTCCTCTAAACACAGCCTCCATTTTTAGTGGCAAGGAGTCCACATTCCACAAACATTCCTTTTTGAGATTCTGCTTCATGTTCACATGATCGCATCATCCAGTTTCTGCAGATTTATTGGCTGTACGATATTGCCAGAAATCTCAATTTCTACCACATCCCAAATGTGTTCTAGTGGATTCACATCCAGTGACTGGCCTAGTAACCTTGTGCCTCAGCAGAAATCAACAGTCATCAGACCTGGCTACATTTTCAGTCTTCAATTGTTCAGTTTTGGTGAGCCTGTGCCCACTACAGCCCCAGCTTTCTGTTCTTGGCTGACAGAAGTGGAATCCAATGTGGTGTTCTGCTGTTGTAGCCCATCCTCCTCAAGGTTCAATATGCTGTACATTCAGAAAATCTTTTTTACTCACCACAGTTGTAAAGAGTGGATATCTGAGTAAAGGTGCCCATACACTGTGCGATTATCGCACGATAATCACAGGAAATCCCGTGATTGTACGATAATCACAAAGTGTATGGCAGGTGTGCAGCTGTTCTTACTGTGCGGTTGCACGTCTTTTGTCTAAGGACCATGTTCGAAAACCAGCCGAAAATCTTACGATTTTCGGCTGGTTTGTGGCATGCTCGGGAGACAAATGCCGAACGGGCCGGTGTGCGCACGCGCACACTGCGCCATTCAGCATTGCGGTCATCGGAAGCCCGCCCCTCAGCGGGGTGGGCTTGCGATCATTGCAAGTACGATCTGCCTGTCCAAGATGGTCAGATCGTACATTTTTAATTACTTTACAACCCTCGCAAGACTAAGGTCCTACGATGGTTGTAAAGTGTATGGTCACTTTTACCATAGCCTTTCTGCCAGCTCAACCTGGCCATTCTCCTCTGACCTCTCTTATTAACAAGGTATTTCTATCCACAGTTGCCACTGGATGTTTTTTTATTTATCACACCATTCTGAATAAACTCTAGACACTGTTGTGATTGAAAATGCCAGGAGATCAGCAGTTACAGAAATACTCAAACCAGCCAATCTAGCTTGTACCTTCGTGCCACAGTCCAAAATCTGGTGTTTTATGTGAATATTAACTGAAACTCATCACCTGTATCTGTAGGATTTTAGGCATTGCAATGCTGCCACGTGATTGGCTGCTTAGATAATTGCATGAATAATCAGTTATACATGTGTTCAGAATAAATTGCATGGTGGGTGTATATGGTCTGGCCTTCAATGTCCTTACTTATTTTCCAATCACTAAGCACTCATGGAGATGAAACTGAATTGGCAAGTTTATGTAAGAAATTTATAAATACTGTAAGTATATAATATAAAGTTTTTTTTAGGTCTGCATATCATTTTATTAATGACCAAAGTTACTTGACCGAGAGGTCAGTCTCTGACAGTTCTTAAACTAAATAGGGCCCGCTGGGATCAATTAAGGTTGTGTTTTCACTAATAAAGCTTTCACAGACTCATATAAGCAAGAATGATACATCAGGCTCCATGTGTCTTGACACTTGCACCATTCATTGGGATCTCATCCAAAACACTTCCATTAAAGCGTTACTCCTCTTCATGGATCAGTGCCAGAGAAGGTTACATTCACTGAATTAGCTTTTAACTTGATTTTGCTGTTGTGCTTTTTATTTATTTAGTTACAGAAAATGTTTTCTCCTGATATGTAGATTTCAGTCTGCAATAAGGGCTTCAGGAAAGGATAGACCTTGATTTGTTGTTTTGATTTGTTGTTTTACTGTTATGAAGCTTTTAAGGCTTGTCCTCACTAGAAGCATTCCACATGGTTTTCTGTGAATGGCCAAGGGGACAGGGGGACAGAAGAATGACAGTAGTGCTTCTGTGTATGAGAGCTGCTGCCCTCATATCTGCAGCAGACCAGATGTATAGCGAGATGTGTACTATCTGGCATGAACAAAAATATGGATTTTGATGTAGGGAACAGCGATCCAGCCATGGCATATATCTCAATGCCCGGAGTTCTGCTTTAATGTGAACGACTGTGATTGAAAACAAAAAGTGTAAAAAGAAGTTTGCTAATTCATATGCAGTCCATGTACCCATTGCACTCCTGACCGCCCATCCATTGAGATAAGATGGGTTCAACGGTAGTCGACGAATGGCCACCGTCTCAGTGATACAGATAAATATGGACACTGGGACTCCAATGATAGAATACGTCTATTTAATGACGTACGTGCAAAACATACGTTTCGGGGTCACATAGGATCCCCCAAGTGACTTGTTCTGCGTGATGAAGGGGATCCTACAAACTTCACAATAAGTATGTTTTGCACGTACGCCATTAAATAGACATATTCTATCATTGGAGTGCGGGTGTCCATATGTATCTGCTAATTCATATGAAGACATTTTTTGCTGTGCACTGATGTGAATGGCCCCCAAGTATACTGTGTGACTCCTAAAACATGTCTATGACAACAAATGAACATTTTTAACAGAGGCTGCTTGTCTGTCCCACCACTTATGATGCTTCCAGCGTGGTGTGCCAGCTTTTACATCAGTAACCAAAGTTTTGTCTTTTGGTTTTCCAAAAACGTTAAGCACAGATATCACAACCTCAGACAATTAAAACTGAGCACATGAGAAGTGCATGCCAGAAAAAAATATTACATCTCTAAGTATAAAGAATTGATAAGCAAATCTTATTTTTTTTCTGTAAAAACTAAGACTGGCCCCAGCTTCTCCCACATCCCGAGCTTCTCAATTGGTCCTTTAATGTGCCAGGGGGCCTCACTGACCAATAGGGACTTTTAGGATCAATCTATCTTTCTAGAAAAGAAGGCTGCCTATATATCTGGATTTACAGATCTATTTTACACGCGGTTTCAAAGCCGAACTGCAGACAAATATATGACACAAATGATTGCAGCTCTGTATTTATTAGCACATAACTAAATGTATTTTTAATACAACCAGTGTAAGTGGCTAAATTTGACTTGGATTCAGCATCTTGTACTGTAGACCTTATACAGCAGAGCTCAGACTAGAAAATGGAGATGCAGGACATTGATCCAGTCATGTGTGCTACATTGCTCATGAGCAAGAAAACATGGTGATAGGTGGAGATAGTAGAGTGACAGAAAGGTGAACTAATCAGTCTGCTGCTTTTTTTTTATCTGTCCAGTCACAGGCTAGGGATGGGGAGGGACAAGACATGTAATTGTTGCTTAACTGCAGCAGAGAAAAATCAGCTTCCCTGCCAGATAGGGCTGCGTTGTGTGGCAGAACTGTGTAAATAGACTGGATGGCAGTTTAAACAGCTTCCTTATATATACGGAATTTATCAAAATCTGGAGCAGTTGCCCAGGCAACCAATCAGCTTCTCTCTTCAGATTGTTCAGTTAAGATTTGAAAATGTGTATTTGTTTGCCTGGAGTTAAGCTTTAAGGTAACCTCTTGCCTGTGTATTTTTGATATGCTTGGTTTGATTTGTCCAAGTTTGTGATGGAACCACAGCACAGTAAACTTTAGCCACCGTTCTAATGAGAATGCAGGGAGATAAGGATAGAGGGACACAGAAGCAGCTCTCATGAACTAAAAGTCTGACTCTTGGCAGCACCTATGCAGAACAATATGTGTGATAACACTAATTGCAAATAGCTTTAGCTGACTGTGAGGGACAATTGTGGAGGGAAGTGGGACAGAGGAATTTGGAGCTAGACAAAGTATTGGAAAGATAGGAGTTGTGGCAGTTAACTGTTCCCGCTCTTGCTTTGTACAACATGATATTTTAGACCGTTGTCACATCTGAACGTTCTCTTGTCACTTACTTGTTCAGATAGAAAAAGAAGGCAGAGCAACACAAAATGGATGGGAAAACCATACTTTGGAAGTCATACTATAGCATCTGGATGTAAGTCAAACTGGGTGTCATTAATCTGGGGCTCATTGGTCTGAGATGCCTATAGAAAGTATGTATTGCACATAGTGTTCACAAGACATGTACTATACACACTTTAGAGACACTATAAAGAGCCACATCAAAGTTGGCCTAAGGCAACATGTAGCTCTTGATCTGGTTGGGGGCTGTAGGGGTTATTCACAAAAGGGTGAAGAGTATGGAGTAGGGAGGAGAAGTGAACAATCTAGGACAACATAACTGATTTGGAAAAATTCTCCAATTCAGCTCACTTTCCAGTTCAGCTATGTTGTCCTAGATTGTTCACTTCCCCTGGCTTTCTCCAAACTCTTTACCCTTTTGTGAATAACCCTCTGTATCTTAATTCAAACCTGACAAGATATGTGCCATCACACTCCTGACCGGAAACAAACCCATAAGTCGGGTGGGTGCCGTAGTGACCCCAGATGCCTCCGCCAGTAACATGAAATTGATGAATAGTCACTCGCACTCCAATTTCATTCCAAGCCAATTCTTTTAATGACTATAGTAGTGTCACAATCATAGCAACGTTTCGGAACCAAGTGGTTCGTTCATCAGACAAACATAAAGTATGAAATTGGAGTGCGAGTGACTATTCATCAATTAAATCAAACCTGTTCTGGTTTCTAAGCTGACCCTGGAAGTTCCTGTTACTGGATGACAATGGCTACTGTCCAGCTGTAGGCTCAGCACAGGTACACCTAAACTTCTATACTACCAGCTTATGACTAGCAAAGATGACCTATGACACCAGTAAACATGTTTAGTTTTATAGAAGCCTGCTATGTCTATCACAAATCTGTATAATCAGAACTGGAGCTCCAAGTTCTTTATCTGCATGATACCTTTCTGTTCCAGTGTGTGTGTATTAGTAAATGGTATCTTACTGCAATATCAATGTTTAATCTGTTTCCAAAGGTACATTTCTGTTCTAAATACAGGTTTATTAATTTCCTTGTATTTTATCTTTCTTTCAGAAGAATTGAAAAAGCAAACAGCCTTGAACATATTGACCAAAATGCTTTCTGGAACCTTCCAATGCTGAAATATTTGTAAGCAATATAAACATTTGCACATACTAACTGTACCCAATCAAACTAACCAGTACACCTGTAACTTCAACTGGTTTTACTGTCTTATGGAAACCCCCTATTTAATTTTGACGTCCCCACAAAGCATCCAGGTTTACACTTTATCTATTGGGAGCTGATATCTCTGCAAAATGAGAGCAAATCCACTTATGGACAACTGTCACTGGAACAGAGGTTCCCACTGAAAGACTTCCACTCACCTTTAGTGACAAATATACATTTCCTGATGACAATGATTAGCAGCGCCAATATATAGACTGAATCTCCTCAACAGGGACACAGAGAGCGAATATCTCTGCAAAAAAATAAAGAAAATGTTATTTTTGCTGGGGATACACTTTATTGATTGCATTGGCAGCCAACTACTGCTTGAATCTGGTTAAGCAAAATTACTGCAAAATGCAAACGTCTCCCACACCATATCAACAGCAGTGGGGTGAACATCTGGTTGAGTGACACCAACCAGATGTTCACTGGTTGGTGTCACTCAACCAACCAGGAGCCCGCAGGCACACTGCAAATATTTTACAGCAGATCGGCCATGTCACTCTGCATGCTGTCCTCCCATGTGACTAAAAGAAATGTGGTCTGAGGCAACAGCCTTAGGCTGCCTCATTAAAGAAGCACATTTGAGAGACAGGGATAAAGTGTTGCCCCCCTATAACAGGAAGTGCCTGGAGAAAAACCTTCATGACAAGATTACCAGGTATTATTTAATGAATGTTGCAGATTTCAAAAAAGATTAAAAAGGACTTTTAAAAATGACATTATCATGTTAAAGTTTATGTGAAATTGTACAGATTGGGTTTATATGTACTTGAATCATTTTATAATACATTTTTATATTTGTCTGTATCAGAATCATCTAAAAAGTGACACATTTACTGTATGAAGTGAATGTTTTCTTCAGTATCTGTAAATCATGTGTATAATAAACTATGCTGGCGGATGGGCGCAAATTAAGATGTCTGTTTGGAATGTTTGCAGATTGGAAAGTCACGATACATTTTGATACAGTATGAAATTATTCACTATATTTCAGAATTAATAGGGAGATTGCTGGCACGCGGCAATTACAGGGCTGTATCTTGGCATCTGCTATATCGCTCACATTTCCTCGTGGACGCTGTCAACGTCAATAATAAATATTTTTCTTGAGGTGCAGATGTAGCCCAACATTGCCTCTAGCCAAGTTTGATCCGGGCAACAAGCAACAACACATGCTTGTTTCCTGGAACTGTATCAATAGACTTCATTCAGGGATAGGAAAGGCGCTCGTTCTGTATTCGAAAATCTTAAATTGTATCATCTGCATACAAGTTGAAAGTTAAGGTTTATTAGGAGACAGCACACTGCTAGGAATATTGCCAAACGTATGAAGTTCAGCAATCCAGCAGTCATAGACCTAATCACTGTGCCAGGCAGACATGAGGGCCTCAAGGGCGACATGGCTTTTTTTAACCTTATGGTCCCGTGTACAATTTCATGGAAAAACACAGTGGAGCAGCTCTTGCAATTAAAAGTGTGATGTGAATGGTGACTGTGTATCTTTGATATCATTCCAATTGCCTTTACATAATTTAAAGAGTATCTAAAGCCAAAACGTTTCCTTTTTTAGTTTTGGATAAAATAGCCAAAAGTTAGAACCTATGCCAGGTTAATTGGTGTATAAAAAGGACAGACGGGGGGAGCCACCACAATTTGATAGAGCCCAAAACAATAGTCTATTTGAAAAGGTCAGTATGGTAAAACAGCCAACACGTTGAGGGGCCTCAAACAATCCCCTTTCATCAGGGCTTGGATAAAATGGAACTTAGTTCCTTTCAGAATGTCTGAACTCAACAAAATGAATGATAAGCTGCAGCTGCCATTGTCCGCTTTTAAAGTAACACTATATTCAGGAGTTAAATCTTGAAAGTGATTTCAAGTACCTTACCTATTAACAAAAATGTATCGTATTTGTGCATCACTCAGCTGTAGATACTCAAATAATTTCAATACAAATTAGTAAACTAAACATGAGATTGTAGTCCATCACAGGAGTGAGCTTGGAGCGGTGGCTACTTTACAACTCACACAGGATCCATGAGAAACAAAAGTAGCCCCCTCCAGAAGGAAGGACAGTGTCAGCACCAATTCAGAGATGATTTGAGGATCTACAGCCGAGTGATACACAAATAAGATACATTTTTGTTAAAGGAGAAGTTTACCCATATCTTTAAAATAACAACAAAGACACCTTTAGAAATAATTAGTAATGACAATCTACAAACAGATACTGCTAGATAATTGCCGGCTTTGTATACTTTAGTTCTCTTTTCTTTCCCGTTCCTCTGAGAGTGGCCAAGTTTACTAAGGGCAGGTTACTAGATTTCTCTTTACTTCCTCGAACTCTGGTACATGTGACTTGACATGTGACCATGCACATCATCTCAGGGGAGGAAAATGCCTTTCCCTGAGATCTCATGAGATTACAGATGAGATTTCCCAGTAATGCTCTGTTGATGTAACCTTCCCAGGATGCAATGTTTATGCACATTAGACATGTAAGCTGACCAAAAGTTTCATTATTTTATTTTTTGGGATTCGTGTCTGAAAGTCAAAACAGCATGGAGTCCCCCAACAATTAATTCCAGACCCTTTATGGTCCCTCCACCATACCAGGCCACATGCCCTCTGCATTGGGAGGGTGCTTTTCCAGGGGAGGACCCCCTAGAAAAGCACTTTGTCCCAATGCCGTGGTACGGTGGGGGGGTCGCTTATTCCCTCCCTTTCCTGCCCTGCCAGATTAAGGGTAGGGTATAGGGTTTTAGGGAGACCCCACTTTTTTTTACTTCAGTTTTTTTGGCGTTGGGGTTACCCTTTAACACTTTAGTGTATTCTGTGACAGCTGTCAGATTCTTTACATTCAGGATCAAAGTATCCGCAAAGAAGCAGACGCTTTTACAGAATAACACAGATCTCTCAGCTTCTTTCTTTCTTTACATGTTGTAACAACATTTTGCTACTTTTTTTTCATTCTGGATACAAGTGATGCGGTAAATGACAGATTTCTCTCTTGTTGTTTTTTGTTCCGAATTAAATTAGTATGTATCTGAATTTTGTTATCAAACATTCGGATTCGTTTGGATTCATCATTTCTGTCATTTGGAAATTTGGATGCATCCGAATGTCTGAATTTACAGAAATTTGTACGAATTTAAATTTGGAACTAAATGAATCAACACATGTCTATGGCACATTAAAGTAAATGAACATGTAAGTAAATGAAAAACAAGTTTGTTTAACTAATGAATGTAAGAAGATTTTAGGAGCTGCACGATGATGTGATTTTTAGTGAAAGGGAGGTAAAGGTCCACTTTAATAGTTAAGCTACTTGAACTAATTTTTAAGACATAACTCCTGAGTATAGTGTCACTTTAATAGCACTGTCCACATAATATAAATAATACGATCCCTACACATGCCCAGGTTTTTATTGCTGTCTGTGTCCTCACTGCATAAATTGACCCTTTCTACAGTACTTTTCCTTTGACTTCCTGTTGTATCTGGAGACAGAACGAGAAGAAAAAATGTTGCTGGGACACAAAATAAATCTCCTACTCTATCAAAAACTAAACCACATCTCGGCTTTAGATATTATTTTAAGTGAACCTGTGTCCAGACTATGCACACTATTTTCAGAAGTGGGACAGCAATGGGAGAAAGGTAGGCAGTGGTGACATGCACATGTTCCAGACTGGTTAATCTGTCTGCTTGTCATATCTGCATATGAGGGTTAAATTATCCATACACATATAGATTTTCTTTCATCCCCCCACAGGTTTAATGAGAGAAAATCCCTTGATTCCCTCATCCATGCTAAAGAGCATGGATGGAGGAATCTCCAGTGCTAACTATTGTATTCAGACAGCTGCAGCACCCTAAAGGTGATTACTTCTGATAGGTCAAGTCCAGGGGTCGGCTCCACTGGCTGTCAAAATATCTGAACAATCTGTTTGGGTGCAGGCATTGTTCAGGTATTTTGAGAGCCAGCGGGGCCGACTAGCAAGATACTGAAGCTTGGACCAGTGGGAGATTCCTCCATCCACACAGTTTAGCGTAGATGGAGGAATCTGTTGCACTTTTTCCAAATGACAATAGAAGTTCTGCAGATAATCTATAGGTGTATGGCGAGCTTGTGTTCAGGGTAAAACAGTTCATCCCTGAGCAGGGCTATTTAGACACCATGCTACCCTAGGTAACACCTGATCCATAGAAATAGCACCAATAAATGAAGTTATTGAATGTACAACATAGAGTAAATTGCAATGGACAGGAGTTTCAACATAGCCTATAGAGTGCAGCAGTCAGAAGAACGCAATGTACAACACTGCACAAATTGCAGTTGTCAGGAGTCGCTAATGTACCACACAGTGTACAGAGTGCAGGGGTCAGCAGTATGTAACATACAACATAGCATAAAGAGTGCAGTTATCAGGAGTATGTACCACAGTGCCCCTTACAATGCTGACCAGCAGCAGTAGAAATAACCCCCAAAATCATTGTTAGTCAGTGGCAATAAAATTCCCCTCCTTTAAAAATTTGGAAGTCAGTAAAAATAAGAAAGTTCCATGATCATTAGAGAATTGGCAGTTTAACACCAGCAAGTGACATTCATTAAACTCATGATACTGATTGTGTGACTTAATACTCTTTGGAGTTAATTTATTACAGGAGAAGAAAGTCCACTCAGCTTCAATTATGTAGATATGTAAAGGGGCCTATTTTTTTTAAAATTCCCTTGAAATATGACTAAGTATATAAGTGAGAACAGTTTCATTGGGCTAAGTGAGCTTTCTACACCTTAATAATTAACCCTTTCGTGGCCACGGATGTACCTATTGCGTCATTGGCAGCACGGCCCTGTAAATAGACACCGCTGGGACTCTGTTTATCTTTGTAATGCTGGGCACACACCTTACAACCATCGCAAGACTTTTGTCTTGCGATGGTTGTAAGGTACTTAAAAAAACATACGATCTGCCTATCTTGGACAGGCAGATCGTACTTGTGATGATCGCAAGCCGCGCCCCCCTGAGGGGCGGGTTTCCGATGACTGCAATGCCGAACGGGCAGTGTGCGCTTGTGCACACCGGCCTGTCCGGCTTTTATCTTACGAACATGCTGCATACCTGCCAAACATTGTACGATGCTCGGCGGGTTTTCGAACATGTTGGTAAGTTAAAAGTCTTGCAACCTTACAGTAGTAGAGGTCGCACGGCTTTCACACACCTCACGATAATCGTACGATCGCGGGATTTCCCGCGATTATCCTACGACTATCGCAAGGTGTGTGGGGACCTTAAAGCCGGCTGCCGCCTTTACAATAAAATACATTCTGGAGGCTCAGCTGCCACCAGATTGCTTATATGGGCTGGTAAAGTGCTCAGTCCCCCCTGACCGACGCCCCTGCTGTGTTTTGTTACACTCTGCTGCCCCTCTTGTGGGCCCAGAATCGGTATGTTGGGTGCAGGTGGTAAGCTGAGGAGGAGAGTGGCAAAAATCCGCTCGCCTTTCTCCTCCATGTTCTATGAGACCGGGAGAGGCGCAGATTGCATAACTTCTGGTCCCTGAGCTGTCATTGCTTGGCTACTGTAGCTACCCTTCATTAGCTTATTTAAAGTGGAAAGGTGATACTGGGGGTCTTTTGGACCCCCAGTATCACCTTAAAAAGGACCTGTCTCTGACAATATACTTGTAAGCCCCCCTATGTGATAGCAATTAAAGTAAACAACAAAAAAGTTGTAAAAAATAATATAGAATAAAATAAATGTAAAAATAATAAAAAAAGTTTATAATGTCCCCCGCCACCCTGCAAGCACTTATGAAAACGTTGATCGTGCTACATATGTTGGGCATCGTCGCACACGCCTGAGTGAGAGAAATAATTCTAGGGCCAACATTTACACGTATCTCTAAACTGTTGACCTGTAGGGGCATCGTCTATGGCTTTTTTTGGATACTGAATGTTGTCCGTGTTTCACGGACGCACGCAATTTTTAACCTGGGCATGTTGGGTATCTATGTACTTGTTGTACCCGCATCTTTTATATTTTAGAAAGAAAATTTGTATTTTATTGTGTTTTGGGGCACTAAAATAAACTTAAGTGCATTTTTCAAAAAAAATTGGGGTTTAAAAAAAAAAAAGTTGTGCCAATATTGTGCAACATGAAAATGTGCAATTGCCACCATTTTATTCTACAGGGTGTTGGCTTTTAGAAAAATTATAATATTTTGGGAGTTTGAAGTAATTTTCAGTCCTAAAATGTGGATCATATCATGTGTGCAAAAAACAAAACAAAATAAAAGAAAAAAGGCTTTGGCAGCAAAAGGGTTAAACTCCTATGAGGGGTTTTCTACCAATTGAAACTTGTTCATGATATCATGGTATGACTGCACCCAACATTTTCCTTGTTTTGGGTAGAGCAGGCCAGGGTTCAATTTGGATTTACAGCCAAGCTTCTGCTGTCACTGCTCTAGGTAAGCTCTCTGTACATTGCTTTGTGGAGTTCACCAGAGGGTACATGATTCAGTATTCTTTAGTTCTGCTGTGGGGGCTGAACCCTGTTCCTCACCTCTCAAAATGAAAATGTTCTGGTTGGTTGGAATTGCCCTTTAAATAATATCACTTGGTTTTAAAATGAATGAAACAGGTTTATAGCCTGGGATTATAAAATTCTGTATATTTTGTTTGTATCTCATAACTCTAGGTGTGAGAATTTAGCCAGAGGCCTCTGCAGAAAAGATATTAATAATGAAAACCTGAACTACGCTATACACTCTTGACAGACAGGCCGCTACCATGCACAGAAAGGAAGATTCTACACATTCTGTGAGACATGAGGAGTCATTTCCAAAAATAGCTGAACAAACTGAGCCAACTTGGCACCATTGTTGCAAATAGTTATTAAATCACATTAATGTTCATGGTATTCGTCCTGACAGAGTGAGGAATTTAAACCATCTTTGGATTTCTTGTTATTATACCAAAAGGCTTATAGGTAGGGGCAGCAGAGATTTGCATCCAAGCGTAGACAGAAACTGTGTATTGCGATCTAATAATAAATGATGATTCAGTACCCATTCAGATTTATTCAAAAAGGCCAAGAGTAAAATGTTGCCAGCCTCTGCAACCATTCATAATTTACCCTTTAATAATATAACTTATATACAAATAAATGTTATTTGTTGCTGTAGGTTATAACACACAGAGAGGGGCTGCAGCACAGGTGGCGCTGGTTTCAAACACATGACTTATAACATTTGCTGACATTTTTTGGATTTGATAGACAATACTTTTTTTTAAACCTCATAACTATGTAACTTCAGCAAGTTGTAGCGTTTTCATCCTGAGCAGGTGGCAAACAATAGGAACATTGTATGGTGTCCTTGATAGCCCAGTCTCCTAAATTACTTCAGAAAACAGTTTTCTACTCGTGCACTTCTGAGCTTAAACTCTTCCCACCTACAATCCATATATTAGAAATCTCTAGCACGAAGCCCTGTGTTGTTAATACACATCCTCTCTTCGAGAGCCACCAGCTGACTTTTTACTCGAATACAAGCTGTCACTAACAGCTCTGTCCCTCACCGACAATTGGGAACCAGTCAGAGTGGTTCCCAATCATATGAAAATGATGTCAACTACAACACAGTGATTACATGGAGACTGAAGAATGTATTTATTATACCACGGCATCTATTTAATACTGTAATTGTCAGATAATTTTACAGTATTTAAAAAAAATATATAAACTATTTACATTTTTGCACATTTATCAGTCTATAAAACAATAAAAAAATGGGAAGGGCTTTTTTTAAAAAAAACAACAGTTTACCAGGTAAACTGTGGGGGAAAGGGAATCCGTGCTTTTTGTGGTTTTGTTTATTTTTGGTTTACAATCTTTGCATCTTTGTATTTTGTACATTTTAGTATGGTTTGAATACTTCTCTTGTCTTTCCTATTTCTCCTTTTGCACTCTTCATGACAATAACTATATAAATAATCCATCAGGAAGGCACTTGTGCAACCTGAAACGAAAGCATCTTGCCAGAGTAGAATAGTAGGGATATAAAAACATTTATTTCTCTGGCATTTACCAAAAACTTAAATAAGAGTTTTGGGTGGGCTGACCCTTTAAAGTGTTTCAAAACCTAAGAACAAAAATTTTATGTTTTGCAGTTTACTAATCTTTAGATATAATGGCTGCATTTTTTAAGGACTGTTTCCTTTATTTTGACCTGGTGATTGTGCAAGTAAAAAACCTTCCATCCTATGGTGACAACACTAATTTACTGTAATATGTAGGTTGTTTGCTCCTGATTTGAACTACAGAATACCTCCCATTCACCTCATCCTTATAGGCAAAATCATTTTTAGTTCACTGAGGTAAACTGGGCAGGGCTGATAACACTGCTTGAGAATTTAGTGCAGCAGAGGCAGAGAGCACAGGAAGTTATGAGCTCACTAACTTTCCAACATGATCAAACAGAATGTCTTTGCTCTTATCTAACACCTGTAATAAACTAAATATAAAGTTCATTGTTTGGGTTAAAAAACCCTTTAACAGAGAACCAAACATGTCAAACTATTTTATAGAAACCAAATGATATATTTTAGGTTGAATTGAATTTTAATTGTCTCTTAAGAACCAAAATACACAAAACGCAAGCCGTTTCAGCCTTTTCATTCTTAAATAATTCACACAGAGCCCACAGTTCCCAAATTAATGCACACATATTACCACATTGAAAATTTGGAACATGAAGTATATATTCTCATAATGTTGTCAAGAGGGGAAATATGTAGTCGATGGCATTATGAATTTAACAGCTATCCTATGGATACTGTAATTATAACACCTGGGGTATTTTCCAAAAAGTAATACTCTTATTATAGGAATGAATTCAGGGTATTTCATTATAACCTTCTCTGTGCATATCTTCTATAATACAGCAAGATCAGCAACCCTCTAATACTTAATCATTAAGCCACCTATCAAGAAAATAGTGCTTGTGCAGTTTAATTGCATTTTAGCCGGGATACATACTTATTAAGTGATGAGCTGCATTTAGGAGGATTCATCTGAAACTTCATTTTCAATTTTATCTGTTCCTTTTAGGTTTATATACAACACCGGAATACATATTATCCCCGCGGTTTCCAGGATACAGTCTCTCGAAATAGTATTTCTGTAAGTTTTAAGCACTTTTGCTAAATATTTAATCATGTCAGAAAATGGGAAAGAATGGCAAAGCATGTAGTTTAACAAAAAGTAAAACTTCTGCCTCAGCTCTTTAATAATATAATGCAGACACTAAAAATGAACAGATGAATATGGGGTTGGACAAACAGACAAGACAGGATACACTATCAGAGACAGACAGATAGCTCGCTATAGAGCGATCTATCTGTCTGTAATGCAACCCTCAACAGCACAAACAAATCTGATTGGCCAGAGAACAGTATTATGTCCGATTTAGTTTCATTTTGAATGAAACTCAGATGCATCCGAATGTCTGAATTTAACGAAATTTGTACGAATATACATTCGGAACAAAACAAATTTTACATTGACCCAGAGCAATTATACAGATCAGGACAGTCAAAGAATAGTCAGAGAAGAGTCCAGAGCTACATGTTTGTTCTGGGTCAGAACTTAAATATTGAAGCAAGAGACGCAGTAGGGCAGCAAGGCGAATTGTATTTTCACAAGAGGTCAAGAATGAAAATTTAGCAAAGGGAGTCTGAATGTTTCTCTCAGGAGAGGCTTTCTTTAAAGTAAAACGTCAGGCAAACCGCAAAATATTTCAAATACATTTATTTTTATTGTTTTACCAGTAAAAGGACTAGCCATTTTGGCTATCTATTCTGGTGATATTTACACCACTGCTCGTCAGGGCAAACCTTATGGACACAATGGAGCTATGCACTGGGTGGATGCCGTTTGCAGGGCACTAGCTCCACTAGATAGGAAATTCCAATGCTCCATCATCTAGTGGTGCTGGTGTCATACGAATGGCATCTGCCCAGCATTAAAGGAGAACTATGAGGTGAGTGGTTTTCACTCACCTCATAGTTCTAGCCGACCTGTGACAATGAGACTGTCACAGGTCGGCTCAGTAGATCGGGAGGTGAGCGAACACATACCGGCGTTCGCTCACCTCTCGATCCTGTCACAGCTCTCTGCCGTGACAGGGGAGGGGCTGGATTCCCCCTCCGATTCTCCAGCGCTGACTGGCGGATCAGACGGGGGAGGGAGTGGGTACAGCTGGCTCTGCCTCTAGATAAGCTGCGGCATCTCAGTATACCGCGAGCAGCTGTAGCCCGCGGTATACTGAGCTTAGGGTGACGGGAGGATGCTAGTTTGTGTCCTCCCATTACCCTAAGGAGAACTATGGGGAAAAGCCTTAACCCCATAGTTCTCCTTTAAGCTGGGTGGATACCATTTGCACGCCATTTACAAATCAACTACATAGTGTGCTAGGATTAGAAAACACCTCCTTCTCCCTTTACACCAAAAAGTGGAGTTGTTCTGTAGTTCATAGAGATAACTGGGACCAATGCTAGAAATAACAGTGCAGCAAAGGCAGAGAGAATAGAGCAGCAGGTTTTTATTGCATTAATCACACAGACACAACTAAAAGCTGCAAATGGTATATTAACCAGAACAAAGGGGACTAAAAAAGAGAAGATTGATGTTGCAGTTACTCTTTAATAAGTCACCTATTTTTAGGTCTTATCAATTAGGAAAGTTGGAAGCAACAGACTGTTAGAGAGAACACCCCCTTATGTATAATATTTCTGTAAGTGCACTGGAAATAGCCAGTGGTATTTTTTCGAAAGTAACATTTGCAATATTTTTCCAGAGATATTCAAGACAATATCAATATAAAGAAGATTAAGAAAAATGCATTTTCTGGACTGAGTGATGAAAGTGTGCGATTGTGAGTATGAAAATTTAAGCTGAACTCCCATGTATTTTGTATTTATTGCCTTGCACTTAAAAAAATATAGCTTTTGCTACAATGCCCACACTACCTCTGGTGCAGTCGCCCAGCCAGCGTCATTTTGCCAACGGTCAGTGAGCCCAGGCTGTCCCATAATGAATTGTCATCACATTGCCCTGCCTTACAGTAGAATGCTGCAGAGAATGGCGCCATGCCATTATGGGGCATTACTCTCTGCAGCTTTCAGGATCAGCCAATCACCAGAGGAATTCATGGATGAAGAGATTTTCATCAGGCTGTGCACACAGAAAGAACTAGGTAAGTAAGCTGGTGGCTAGGGGATTTGGTGTTTTAGCGCAATTTAGCATTTAGGGTTGGGGGGATGGAGGTAGCAAAAGATGAAAAAGATGATAGAATGATACACGCGTCCTTAAGGAGAATCACAATTTTCTTCCACTATTATTTATATATATATATATGTTATTTACGAGTAACATCAATATTTTGATCAACTGTGTATGATTTACATTCTAGATGGCTTGTGCAGAACGATATAGAAGAAATAGAGAACTATGCCTTCAACGGAACAAATTTACATGAATTGTGAGTTTGTGAACCCTTATGATCTGCCACATATTTTCATTTTATAATATTAATTCCTTGAATTTTATCTAATAGAGTCCTCAGTGGCAATCAGAAACTAACAACATTACCCGATCTTGTTTTCCATGGAGCCAGTGGACCTGAAGTGCTGTAAGTTATAACTTTCCTTGATGAGGTTTAAATTAAACTTGTGAAATCTTTTGTTTTGTCTGCAGCTAAGATCTATGAGAAAGAACAAATCAATACCCGAGTTACAGAAGTTTAGTTTGCAATTGTAAGACACCCATTTACTGACATAATTCACTCCGGATTACTAAATTGCATCAGGATACTGGCAACCTACACATAAACAGCATTTATTTGGACAAACTCTGTATATGGGGGGGGGTGTTAAAGGTTCAGTCCACCCAAAAGTGTTATCTTCCATGTTGTTCATTGGTGGTTAAGCATTAAAAGGAAACAATGATTTTAGATTAATTTGTTTTCATTTTTTTAGGTTATGTGTTTTGAAACTTTATATATATTTTGCTATACAATATATCTCTTTTTTTAACCATATATACAATCTTTCTTATGCACACATAACAAAGGATCCTCAGAGAATTGTGGATTTTCCTAAGACAGCACTCTAGAGTCTATTTCTTTTCAAACAATCTGTCTCTTATTGCAACTCTGCAACTCCATATGGAGCATCTAAAGGAGTAGGAGAAATTGAGGAGTCACTGCTCTGACCCATTATTTGTAAAAAAAAAAAAATTACAACAGGAGGTAAGGAAATACAGGGAATCAGGTGAATATGAGTCTAAAACTCCACCTGCTGGATATAATTTAGAAAATAAAATTTTAAAATTCCTATTTGTTTTTCTTTTTTTATTCCACAGGGTCATAAGGTTTATGGTTTGCACCTTTATTTGCTTTAGTGATTAGTACTATAACTGAAGCATTGGTGCATGTTGTACCTTCAGCACTATCCCTGAGGACGGCGTGTATTCTAATAAAGTCTATAATTTAACGTTTATGCAAATACTGCTCTTTACGTTATGTAAATGCAGAACAAGCATCTTTTTCCTATCCCTGAATAAAGTCTATTGATAAAGTTCCAGAAATTGAGTATATGTTGTTGCCCAGATGAGACCTAGCTAGGGGCAATGTTGGGCTACTTCTGCTCCTTAAAAACATATTTATACTTGGCATTGATCGTATCCATAAGTATTTTTAAGCAACATAGCAGATTCCAACTTAGTGCTATTAAGCTCTATAAACATCAGGCTTTTTATAGAAGCAGAGGGCAGCATTGGGAACCAGAGCTCTTCCTACTGGCTGGATTTAAAAATGCAACATACCTGTATGCATATTATATATTGCCATATTTTTTAAATGTATTTGTTTTGCCCTGCCACTATTAAGGAAATAACATACCATATGCACAATGGATGGGTGGGGGTCTTAGTGCAGTATAATATTTTAAGAAAAATTGTGTTATTATTGGTCATGAAGTGATGAAAAATTGCTGAGGATGTGTTAATAAATGTCTTCAATTTGACAGCTACCAGGTGACAATTTGCGTGGCTACAAGCAATTGAACCTGGCTGTCATTGAGCTTCATTGCTCACTAATGGTCACAGTGACCAATCAGAGTCATTCCAGATTGGTCATCTATGTCAGCTATGATCACATGCAAGCTGAAGGCTTCATTCAGGAAAACAATTGTTGCAGCTTGCAGAAGTCACTGAAGCCTGTAGATGGCAGTACTTCATTCTTTCACTGTTTTAATGTTTTAAGGTACCAGTTCAGAAACCATAGCCGATACTTGGCATTTTCACGAGAATTACCAGGGTGGCAGCAGTTGCAGCTGGGACCTGGCTCTGGCGCTCCACCACTGTCCTGAAATCATTAGTCTGTATTGTTTTAGAAAAACTGTCACACGACAATAAACAGAAATGTATCAGTACTTGTATCTGTGAGTACTTGGACAAGTACCAGTACTTGTACTTGAAAAAATGGTATCGGTGCATCCCTTATGTATATTTATATATATAAAAAAACATACATTAAAACAGGAATGTACAAATCTCAGGAGCTTTATATGCTCCGTAAAAATGACAGCTGCTTCCTAACTTTGAATTTTTCTCTAGTCTAGTCTTGGAGCTAGAAAAGTATCTGTACTTGTACTTGTGCTTGTACCAAGTACGGTACTTGGTATCTGAACATTACATAACTTGAAATTCATGTTTGAATTAGTTTTCTGTTAACATTATCAATACCAAAATACTTTTTTCCCCAGACTTTCCAATGGAATACAAGAAAATCACAAACCTTTTGTATTATTGGTGTAGCATTCTAACGCATATGGTTTGCCTTTGAACTGTGTAAAGTGTTTAATAGCAAAACAGGAGAAAAATGAAGCAGAACCGTGTGTTGAAAAAAATGGAATGGTTCAGTAATTTCCATGGGAACATGTTGAAATTGCTTTATTCAGAACAAATGTTACGTCTGTGGGCTCCTATTGGTATTTTTTTACTCCAGTAGATTTTATTATATTTTTAATTAACAATTTGCTTATATTTTAATTGCTAGATGATACATTCCTCTTTATGGAAGCACTTTATTAAAGTTTATAAAAGTCACACAAACTGAAGATTTAACTCAAGAAGTGACTCTTTAGGCAATCTAAACTCCCTGGACTTCAAAAAAAACTAAACAAAAATCAGCGAGGTGGAAAACAAAATTCATAACAGCACTCTTCTGACAATCCAGTCATAAATGCCACAACAGGTGTGTGGACCTGAGAACCTTAGTGCAGAGATCTTACCTCGTCTGTGGGAGCCATGAAAATTGAAGTCATTTATTTCTCCATCAACTATTAAAAGCTAAAATATCAGTTTAAAGTGGACTGACCTCATGGGCACTAAGGATAATACCTACATGAAGTAAATAATGTAATCTGCAATCAGCTGTCTCAAGCCTTTCTCAAGCCTCGCTATGAGGCTCGCTATAAGAGGCTCGCTATAAGACTCGCTATGAGGCTTGAGAAAGAGGCTGTGCCTCGAAACGCTTAGCTGCTGCCGCACTGTGAGCCCTCACCTTTGCTAAGTTCTCCACCACTTCGGACTTTCCTTCTTGTATACGATCAGTCGCACCCCCATGATACCAGCCTGACGGTACCAGTAAATATACGGAGCACAGTACAACATAGCCGTTCGCAACTCTCCCCTCCTAAGCCGCCGTGGCTCGGCCTGGCCAACCGAGCACGCATGTTGCCAGTAGTCTTCACTCCGCTCCCATACCTGTCACCACCTACTCCTGGAGCCATCCATCCTTGGATTAAGGTTTCTCTCCAGGCACACGGCACGAGGATGTCATGACATCTTCTGACACATCAGCTGTCTTCCAACTTTAAGTCCTATTGCCCGTTTTTCACACATCACTGGACAACATCAATTTCAGGGTTGTAGCGCTCCTAAAACTTGTTTTTTTTTATGCATTGATTTACTGGGTTCCTCTCCCTGATAGTAGCAGCTTGCACACCGTACAGTTCAGCCCATAGCGATTCAACATAGGGGCCAATAACCAGTTGTGTGCTTATTACATCATTTTAGTTCTTTTACTCTTTGGGAATGCAACACACAGCATTGAACATGTGTTTTGTTTAGCAGGTCAATTATATAGTTTGCTCCTATAGGCCCTTCCAAACATGTTAACTTACACTTTCAAACTTCCTTTGTATTTTTCTAAATTTCCAGTATCTGCTGCTCAATGTAAACTTTTCTAAGTCATTTCTTGTATTATTTTGTTACAATCAGGGATATTTCAAAAACCCAGATCAGTTCTCTGCCCAGCCATGGCCTGGAACATTTAAAGAAACTTATTGCTACTCATGCTTATAACTTGAAGAAGCTGCCCCCTTTGGAAAGGCTGTCTGATCTTATTGAAGCCAATCTTACATATCCAAGCCACTGCTGTGCTTTTGAAAACTTGAAGAAACAGAAAAGGTACGTGCTTATTTATTTTAGCAAAGTTAAAGAGTAAATCAAACCAGCAAGTGGACTGCTAATGTTAAAGGATGCCTCTACTGAAAGAAGTGCACTGTCTATGTCTCCTACCTTTCTCATTCAAAGCCTAATGTATGCAGGTGTAATTTATAGTGAATGTGTGGCAAATTAGGAGAGCAGAGAAAGAGCACACGTATGCAAATCACACATGACATGACATGCAGGGTGTTTATTGGGAAACTCCAGTACACAAAAGTGGGCACATGATAACAGTGTGGTACAACTACCGAAACTCATAGGAAAGAAACAGCAACAAGGGGACAGTCCAATGGTAACAATCCAGAGCACATTGAGAGATACATGCAGCATGATCACAGGACAGCAATATGGCACAACACACAGTAAGTCCAAAGCAGCAATACAGTACATCAAATGGCGAATCCAGGGACACAAAGCAGCAATATGGCACAGCAGAGGGTAAGTCCAGTGCGACAAGACAGTACAGCAAATAGTGAGTCCAGGGGGCACCAGACAGCAATAGTGAGGCAGCAATCTGGGCACAGCAAGGTTATTGACGCCTAGATGTCTACACAAAATTTAGCAACAGGGGTGAGTCAGGTAACTTAACATTAACTCCAGGAATAACTTGTCTACCTAAATCATTTTAAAGTGGACCTCTAACCCCTTTCACTAAAAATCACCTCAGCATGCAGCTCTGCATACTGATATAAATCATCTTACATTCATCTAGGTTTGCCACCTTTTCTTCCATCGAAACCTGAACACTCTAGCCACGCACAGACATTTTTTGGGGAGAATGAGTCACGGCTTATTCATATGTAAATAACGCCGCCCATTCATATGTAAATATCACAGTGGAGACTATTTTCAGGGGGGGGGAGGGCAGTAGCCCCTATCTTAATTTTGGTTGCCCCTGTCTGCCTGACATCTTGTGTCCGGGTTGCAGCTGCCATGAAACCCGAACACAGCATTCAAAACCCAGACCGTCCGGGTGAATCCCGGACAGGTGGCAACCCTACATTCATCAGTTAAACAAACATATTTTTTTTTACTTACAATTATTTATTTTTTACTTCCTAGTCCTCTTGGGCATAAGTGATGTAATATGCCCAAGGCTTGCATCCTCCCCCTGAGATGATGTGCATGGTCACATGTTCTAGTGCCAGAGTTCCAGAAAGTAAAGGGAGATATAATTGATATTTGCACTAAATAAAAATGGCCACTGTGAGAAGAATGGGAAGGAAAAGGAAAATAAGGTATGCAAAGAATACAAAGCCGACAATTATCTAGAAGTATCTGTTTGAATATTGTCATTGCTAAACATTTCTAAAGGTGTCTTTGCTCATTTCAAAGATATGGGTAAAGTTCCTCTTTAAGTGAAATACTAAAACTACAACTACTTAAACTGAAATACTTGAATATACTGATTCTACTGAGTCATATACATTCTGCATATGTTTTATAAAACTAACAAAGAGAATATTGGAAAAAAAAAATCAGTTTTTTTTGTAACAGTGTTCATTAAAAAGGAAAAGTGCTGTGACACTAGAAGACTCTAAACCTGTCCTTACCTACAAGTACATACTGCATACAATAGCAGCATGGAGCTACTTATTTTCAAAGATTCAAATTCTAACTCATATCTCCTATGTCATTAACCTAATAATGTGACATGCGGCAGTATTGATTGTGGGCATATGGTCCCAGGAAAAGGCAATTAAAATAAATTGTCTGTAAAATAGGAATGGCATTCACCTGAGGTCTCAAGGATTATGTCATCAGAACTTTCAAGCCATTTTTCAGTGTCTTTACACAGCTTGCTAAGTTTATAAGGTACAAAATGTGCCATTCACCCTACATTATGGTGACAGCGGCTGTGTACAGAGTTTTAGCTTTTAGCATACCCCATGTTCTTGTGAAAGTTGTATTCAGTAAAGCAGAGAACGGTATTGTTGATATTAAAAGTGGTTACATGACATATTATTTTATTATGCATGCAAAATTCTGTATTTAAAAAACCTCGTGTTACCACCTATTTCAAATTTTTTATTGTTTTATATTATATTTTTTATCTTGCTGGAGGATATCCTATACTTCCTGTACCAGAGATGATTCCTGTGAGAGACAACCTCTCAGAAGTGAGAGGAGTTCCCCTCTAAGATACTGGAACAGCTACTGTTTGTTCTGGTGATGACTCTAACATTTTGTATTTCCCATTACATTCCTGACCAGAGACAATGGTTACCAAGACAGTCAGAGAGGGTGAATCTTCATAGTGGGAACACAAAAGTTAAAAAAAAAAGGATTTGTGGATATGCATACACTTTAAGTAACAAGCTGTATTTTATTTATTTATTGTATACTTTGTTCTTCCTGTAGCATGGATTTGCATCCTTTCTGCAATAAAAGCAGTTATTTTCTGAATGGAGATTCAAAGCCTATCAACCAAAGATCAGCACAGGTGGATAACCAGATGAGCAGCAGCCTAGGCTTCGAGAATGATGACCTTGACTACTATTTCTGTCTTGATCTGCGGAACGTCGTGTGTTTCCCAAAACCGGATGAATTCAACCCATGTGAAGACATCATGGGCTATGACTTTCTCCGAATCTTGATTTGGTGTATCAGCATTCTGGCCATAAGTGGGAATGCAGTGGTGCTCATAATATTAACAACCAGCAAGTCCAAATTCAATGTCCCCAAGTTTCTAATGTGCAATCTGGCCTTTGCAGACTTCTGCATGGGCATCTACCTTCTGCTAATTGCCTCTGTGGACATCAAAACAAAAAGCCAATATTATAACTATGCAATTGAATGGCAGACGGGAGCGGGCTGTCACGCAGCAGGATTTTTTACTGTCTTTGCCAGCGAACTGTCGGTCTACACGTTGACGGCCATTACCCTGGAGAGGTGGCATACCATAACCTATGCAATGCAGCTCCAACGTAAAGTCCGGTTATGGCATGCTTTCATCATAATGATTTCAGGTTGGATCTTTGCAATTGTAGTGGCCCTGTTGCCCATTGTTGGCATAAGCAGCTACATGAAAGTTAGCATTTGTTTACCGATGGACATTGAATCTTTACCTTCACAGGCGTATATAATATTTCTCCTGGTGCTTAATGTTTTGGCTTTTGTGGCTATCTGTATTTGCTATGCACATATATATATCACTGTACGCAATCCCGATATTGTCTCCTCCCACAGCGACACAAAAACAGCCATAAGAATGGCGGTTCTAATATTTACCAATTTTTTGTGTACTGCACCCATTTCATTCTTTGCCATCTCTGCATCCCTCAAGGTCCCCTTAATAACAGTATCCAATTCCAAGATCCTGTTAGTCCTGTTTTATCCAATTAATTCCTGTGCCAATCCATTTCTATACGCCTTTTTCACTAAGGCTTTTCGAAAAGACTTTTACATTTTGATGAGCAAACTTGGCTGCTGCAAGTCACAGGCTCTCAGTATGAGGACAGAAACCTCTTCGTCAATTCTCAATTCACGGAATGGGCACTACGCTCCTGGGCAAAAAAACCGCTCTGGCTCAGTGTACACGTTAGTCACACTAAATCACCAAAACTGAAACAGAATTGGAATTATTTTTTAATACATCTAAAAACAATGGCCAAGAAGCCATAGCAACCAGAAATCAGTCATTGCCCTAAGGTGATGAAAAGTTAAATCCAATTTCTGCTATAGCTTTCTGCTCTTGGTCCAACCTTAATAAAAAAAAAAAACAACTTCAGTCTTAGATAAGTTGTTATTTAAAAGGTCCTCTTTGGGTGTAACAAACGTAGCACAATACTTACCTTTTTGTTCTGTTCCAGAGATCTTTACTCGAAAAAAGTCCCAGCCAGACAATGACACAACTGGGCATGTGGACCGCAACCTCATTCATTTTTGAGGTCTGTACTATGACTGGCTGGGGCCACCAGCTATTGGAATAAATTAGACTTCCTGTGCATACACAGTAGGTACAGGATCCAGTTGGGACTTTTTTTTGTGCGCAGGTAGGGCAGGGCCATACAGTAAAGATATCCAAACTGGAACTGAAGGTAAATATTTAGCTATGCGGGCTACACTGAGAGAAGAGGGGGGAGCTTAATTGGACAATTTCACTAACTGTATTTGTTATATATAATTTCTTGTTTTGTGTTCAAGTTCCAAAAATATAAGATCTAAGTGAACTAGAGAATCTTTTGTAGGCTTACTTTGAATCTCTAGTTATTTTATAGTATATATATTTTTTAAGGTTACTAATGCTTTTAGTTGCTTTGTAAAAACTGTTTTTATAACAAAAAATAATAACCATTATTAATGGGATCCTCCACCAAAAGTGGAAGAGCAACGAGGACAGCCTTGATGTAAAATGCAGTTTACTTTATATGAGGTTAATGTGCTAATTCTTAATGTGCTTACACAGTTCCTCTGGCAATCTGCTGCTACTGTTATTTATCAGAATCTGGTTGCAATGTATCTGATATTATTCAGAATCTGTGGACACCAAGGCATGATCAGGGCTGTGAAAGTGACAGTGCTGGACTCCATACAACAAGTTGAAAATATAAGTACAGTTTTCTACACAGACTGAACCCACCATCTTCCAAAGAATATTAATAGTGTTACACAGGAGCCCTATTAGTTTTTCAATTTATTTATTATAGTATTTTTATTTTTACCAAACTTTGATTTCCATTTGGAAATTCCTTCTTAATATCCTTCATACGAGTTGAAGTGTTTCTTCTCTATTACAGTCATTTTATTTTTTCTGCAGAAATTTCAGTTTTCCTACTTATTCATTAGGAATTCTTATTATTTTTGCTGCTATATTTTGCATTGATACTAGTATTGATCAGCCAAGTTTTAATTTGAAGGTGTCGCATTTTTATCTTCTTTGCTTTATGTTACTGTTTTTTTTGCTGAATTTGCCAACAAATTTGAATAATATTTATTGTTTTTTTCATCACTGCTTGTACAGTAAAAGGATAACTAAGCCTATGAACAAACATTTTATATAGTTCAGCTTACCATTCCTTTGATGTGGTACACTCATAAATTTTCAACAAGTTCAAAAAATACATGTTGATATTACCAGTAGGCATGAGCTCAGATTCGGACTGAACCCGGTTCAAATCTGACCTCTTCCGAATATGGAATCTTCATGGGCCTCCTGGCAAATCAGCTGTGGGTCAGGGCATTCCCTGCCCCACAGCTGACTATAAGCAAAGACGTGGAATGTTTGTGATGATGTAATTTACCTTTTATGGCCACATGGCCATATTAGGTAAATGTAATTTGCCTAATATAACCATGTAGCCATATAAGGTCAATGACATCGCTGCATCCCACCCCTTTGCTTATGCATAGCTGCAGACGGGGAATTCCCCAGCAGCAGCTGATTGGCAGCAACAGAAGTTTCCATACAGGCTCAAAGGAGCTTCTTCCCTGTTTGGAGAAGCTCAGTTCCGGACCAAGTTCGGTCTGAACCTGAGCTTTTCCCTACTTACCAGAAATGCAATGTCCTTGTCACTGTATGTGAGATGAACTGAAAACACAAACAATCTTATCTTCCTTCTCTAAACTAATAGACCCCCACTCCCCATGTAATGGAGATGATGAGATGATGAGATGAAAAGATGTTTGGTTAGCCTAAGGTGATAACCAAGGCTACCTCCATAAATACAGTTGAGTGCAGTGTTGCCATCCAGTAACAGGACATGATGTTCACAGCATCATTATGTAAAACTAAAGGAACAAAATCTGAAAGAAACAAAACTAATGCAGCCTAAGGACTGGTAAGCTGCAATATATAATAGTTTTGCTTTTTATTCTGGAGACATTTTAAGGATGTGCACTCCAATATACTTGAAAAAGGGCAAAAAAAAAACCTACCCCCATTAATAGTCACTTTCATGACTCTGTGTGTGAGTTTTTTGCTCATTTATAATTGGCTATCATTTTTACCATCAAGATATTGTCCTCTATAGCTAGTGATATTCAGCATTGCACCACTGTATAATGTATTATTGTTGGGATTTGTTGTGCTCCTCTATAGCTGGCGGTATTCTGCATTGCACCACTGTATAATGTATTGTTGCTGGGATTTGTAGTCCTCTATACAGCGCAATGCAGAATACCACCAACTATAGAGGAGTACAACACATCCCAGCAATACATTATACATACAGTGTATAATGTATTGCTGGGATTTGTATTCCTATGTATAATATACAGCACAATGTACCATCAGCTATAGATGAATACAAATCCCAGCAATACATTATAGAGCACCATGTGTGGGAAAGTGCAGGATTACCTGAGGAGTCTTCCAGCAACTTGCTCCTAAGATCAGGCCTGTCTATCCGTGGCTGTCATCCCCCCACACCTCCTCCTCCTTACTACATCTCCCCGCGTCCCTGTGCCGATCGTGGATGTGGGCGGGTGGTGAGTGTGAGGCGGGAAGGAGGTGCGGCGTGTAGAGCGTGGATGCGGGCGGGTCTGGCAGCGGTGAGCGTGAGTTGGGGAGGAGGTGCGGCGCGCAGCGTGTGTGGAGTCGTGAACAGGGCCAACTGATCGGAAGCCGATTAATCAATTATGTCGATTAGTTGTTGCAGCCCTAATATAATGTACATGTTTTTAGGGATAACAAGTTACCTATTATTATCCAGAGATGCTCTATATAATTACTGCTTTGACCATCTCATTTTATTGTACATAGCACATTCTGATGCTCCAATAGGGCAAGATAAGGTTTTACCATTAATGTCTCCTTTTTTTATTCCTTCGCCCTTGACATTATTTTTATACCGTTGTGTTTAATAAAGCTCTTTCTTTTGTAAACCATGTTTTGTACTCACCAGCCTTGATTGAGGCCTGTTTCTAAGTGACATTTGCTTGACAATATAGGTATTTGAAGGTGCCACACATATGAATCGATTAAAGTAGATCTAAACTCTAACTAGATGATATCTAGTTTGATAAAGCAAAATGTATCATACAGAACTGTCATGCTGTTTGTTTCTTTCATACAAAAATGTTTCACATTTGTGCTAAGTTCTAATAACACTAACACTAACACTCTATATGCACTCCACATCAGGGGGTTTACAAAAGGCAAATAGCCTGCTCACTTTGCAAGGGACATTTCCCCTTAGTTTAGAGAATAAGGCAGAGCTCTACTGTCTTCCATCATCCAATCATGTACCAAAGCAATTCATTTTTTTTATGTTCCTTGCTCTAGATTGGGCAGGAAATTACTCACATCATGGGTGTTGGGCGGGGGTACACTTACCCGGCTATTAGAAGCAATCAATTCTATTGTAAAGCCTAGGAGCCGGCGAGAGTTTGCTTAAACGGGCCCGCTGCCAATAACGGGTTAATAAACTAAAAGTGAGATTGTAGTCCCTCACGGAAACCAGCTTGAAGCAGGGACCATGGGGAACAAAAGTAGCCACCCTCCAGAAGGAACGACAGTGTCAGCACCAATTCAGAGATGATTTGAGGATCTACAGCCGAGTGATCCACAAAAAAGGTAAATTTTTTATAATAGTTAAGGTGCCTGAATGTATTTTTAAGATTTAACTCCTGAGGAAGCCAGGGGGGCCTATGCAGGTTTGTTGTATATATGTACAGTATACAGTATATTCTGTATACAGTATAATATATATATAGTATATATATACAGTATATGTTTTAAACAAAGTAGATGCCAGAATTTATAATTTTCTAAAACAAAATTAAAAACACAGCGAATAGGCCTTGATTACTTGCTAAGAACTCTCTATAAAGAAAGCTTTCACTACAGTACAGTACATTACATTACAAGGGTAATACCTGCCAGCCAACATGATGGCCCTAGAGCACAGACTTAATGTTCTGCTAATCAAAATGATTGAGACTTAGGAGGAAATTACACAGCAAAAGACAGGCATCCGTCCAGGGCGAGTTTATCTGGGCTGGTAACTGGGAAATATCGACTCACACTTAGCATCTCTTAAATATAAAAATGCATTTTCTGGTTATATTGGAAATGGCATCAATATCAAATTAGACGACGGTCAATACAGCTCATTGTGGCGTTTGATTAAGACAAACCTCTCTGTGTCAGTTACATGCAAATTCAATTTAAGCCTTAGGAATTAGAATATGTGTAATTTATTTATTGAGCTCTCACTTTACATAGCAGTATCTTGTCCCAGATCAAAAATGAATCATTCAAAATGGGTTTGAGTGCAGAAATACTTTTTATGAAGTGATCAGGCTAATAATGATGCAATATGTCAGTTTACTAGTTTTAGGAGAGTAAAATAAAACCGTTAGTAGCCCGATGCAATTTACTGTATTAATGCATAAAAATATATTACAAACCGTATGATAAAATATATCTATGTAACTATATCGCTGTTATATAGACAGCATACTATTTTATTATACTGTGTGTTTATACTGGCTATAGCTTTCCACATTATGATAAAATTATATTATATACAACATACTACATTGTAGTCATGTTGGAACAGGAAGGGGCCATCCCCAAACTGTTGAAATTGTCCAAAATGTCTTGGTATGCTGATGCCTTAAGAGTTCCCTTCACTGGGACTAAGGGGTCAAGCCCAACCCCTGAAAAACAACACCACATCAAAATCCCTCCTCCACCAAACTTTACACTTTGCACAATGCAGTCAGACAAGTACTGTTCTCCTGGCA